TGCATGTGATTGTCTGTGTGTGCGTATGTCTGTATCTGGAAAGAAGAACCGCCGCGTGGAGTGTCCATTATAGATGTTATTTACTCCTTAAAAGAATTATCAGAGGAGGAACAGCCCGATGAAGATGACGCAACAATCTATACAGTACAGCTACCAGGGTGAGGAAAGGAATTTATTTATTAATATTTTTTTTAATTGAGGGGAAAAAACCCAAAAATATCTGTGTGGCTTTGAGGAGGAAAAGAGTAAAAGGGGAAAGATTTGTAATCACGATTACGACGTCGTGTTTTTTTTTTTTTTTAATGTACGAATCACGTCTGAGAATGTTAGTTAGGATGTATTCCTTTTTTTATAATATATACTAAATTGGTGGAATATAAGAATGAGGGAGAGAAAGAGAGAGAGAGAGTGAAGAATGTGGTTTTATGAGGAAGGTCTTTGTAGTGAGGTGTGGGGTTGAGGGTGACTTGGTTTTATGAGGATGGTCTTTGTAGTGAGGTGTGGGGTTTAGGCTGACTTGGTTTTATGAGGATGGTCTTTGTAGTGAGGTGTGGGGTTTAGGCTGACTTGGCGGGGGTGGCAGAACCTCCCTTTCGGTCACCATTGTCATGCTTATTGATTAGGGTGCCTTAGGATGCCATAGGGTCATTACAGTGGGCTAAGCTTCATGAAGAGAGAACATATGGACGGTTTATGAATATTTTGTGTGTGGTCTGGCTTCCCGATTTGTAAAATATTATGCCAATATGATACATTTCAGTGGTATCCCCAATAATATTGAATTTATTGCTGCTTGACCATAGAATGACCTTTAGTAACTATTATCAGTGTAATTGTAAATGGTTGTAAGTTTGTTTGTTTTTTTGCCATCGTATGTTTCCCACAGCATTGTAGTACAAACTAAGATTTGCCTATATTAGGCAGAAAGAATAAAAATAGGACACATTTCTTAAATGGTACGACCTTCACAAATTGGAATCTGGGGATGGAGCCCCTGATAGGGACATACGGGAATTGGAGTCTGAGGCCGAATCTGTCTGGTTCGGTAGGATTTGGGACAATATGTAGTAAAAGGTAGTGGCAAAGTTGGGTAATAAAACCTACATGAAGTGATAGAACAATACAAACCAAGACAAAGTTCTTCTATGGCAATATGTGTGCCAATGCTTCCCAAGGGTGCTATACGTAAAAGAAAAGAGAAGATCCCCCAATTTTGGCTAAATCGCTCATCTTGTATACATTCCGAGGGTGAATTCTTGATGCATATACTACTAAGGGGGTCCAGGGGGCATAGCCCCCTTGCTGGGCATATATGTTATTACGGGGGTCCAGGGGGCAGAGCCCCCTTGTTAAGGAATATGGATGTTGGGTTAGGACGTTTTGTTTAACAACCACGATGGTCCTGTTGTACCCCATAATTACCCTGATGTACTTCATGTCCTCCCCAGCTATCGGGACTATCAAATCAAGATAGTCGATGGAGATGGTGATCATATCTCCTCAACGATTCATTTGCCCAAGGAACAATGCCTAGAATCATTGAAAGCAGGGGATTTCATGCAGAAAAATATCAAAATTGTTTCAAAAGTAACCCACTACCCTTTTCTACATACTGACCGGGGATCTTCTCTTTTATGTATAGCAGCCTTGGGAAGCATTTGCACACATATTGCCATAGAAGAACTTTGTCGTGGTTTGTATTGCTCTATCATTTCATGTAGGTTTTATTACCTAACTCTTTTTTTTTCTTTTTAAGGTATCCTATTTCAATCTGTACATTCATTTTAAACAAGAGAAGGGACTGGAAATGACTTTATGATAACTGCACTGGCTTTCAGAGTAGAATAGATCAATGCATGTTGTATTAAAAAAAAACAAAAAAAAAAACTTTTTTCATTCTGTAATGTAATCATTGGTTAATCTTATTGGTAAGGATGCACAAAACCTGGGTAAATTAATAATATTCTTGTTGAGAAAAAGCTGGTGTGATTAGTGGTCATGAATGATAATACCACAAATAATCAAAACATCACAGAAAATTACATTTACAGCCCAAGTCCACTCAGTGCTGTGCATACTGAGGTGAAGACAATGTTTGCATGGATGGGCATACCCAGTTATGGCAAAATTAATTATTTAACCCATTCGCCACATATGGCAAGAATAGATGCCATACCCACTTTGATACACGTTTAATTATTGTATTTACACATAGATGGCTCCAAGTTTTTAGTCACCAAATAGCCAGTTATCAAGAACTACCTATTTCACCTGTTTACCCTTTTCCTTCACTTTAGGAAAGGTTTTTTTGTATCATATCATTGTCAAAAATATTCTAATGACAATTCAATAAGCATAACATCAATAACAATAATAACAGTATCGAAAGCAATGGTATTAGTTTTCCCGCTAATTTGTTCAATGAATGGGAAAATCAGGGTCGGTAACTAGGGCCTACTGATAGACTCCTTGGCGGCTGAGCACATGTGGAGCCATCTGTAGGTAACAAAATTCACCAAAAACTACAGGGGACCGAACATAAATCCTTGGCGAATGGGTTAGAAGGATATTTGAAGTGGAGTTGGGGGCTTAGGCTCTGGAGAGTGCATTCGGTAAGAATTACCTGATTAACTACTTGAAAAAAAAAGTAAGAGTTCATTTGCATAGTAATAATTATTTAATATAATACAATAATTATTTAATATAATACAGCAAATTAATTTTTATAAGTCAATCACAATGCTCACGGTGTTAAAGTATAGACTGGGAAACGAAATACGGCACTTGGTAAGGGGGACCAGAGGTTAGGGTTGAGAGTTGGTGCATTTAGGATGGGGTTCATGTGTTCTTTAGTTCAAGTTGGGAACTTTGCTTCTGATGGATGCTACCCTGTTGTAAACTTTTACCATATATTTTCATAATGGACCCACTAAGATTAGGAAAAGCTGAGAACCTTCATGAAAGTATCTGCACAGGAAAGGAATATAATCAGAAATACAGAAAATAGGTTGTGGCAAATGCTGCATGATGAAGTCCTGCCTTACCTTGCCTCACTATGAACAGCATAATTATGCGGTAACTATGCATAAACTGTTTTTGCACGTGTAACTTGTGAGGTCAAGGCAATTATAGTCATTTTTTAAAAGATGCTGTACTTTCCAATGTATTTCTCCATTTAAAAAGCCTCTCAAGCTAGTTAGCTGGAGCAATAGGGACTCAGTATCAGGGGGCTGTGGTCACTTTGTATACAGTAACCTGGCTTTGCTCTACCAAATTCTGTAAAACATGCTTTGGTCTGTGATAGCATACTTATAATCCAAAACCCAAAATAACAGCATAGGCCCTAGTGTTGCTTCTATGCTCCACAAAGCAACCAGGATCAACAGATCTTTGCTATATGTACTCTGGCTAGAGAGAGGTTTAACTAGTTACTCATTTCATGTTGAGCCACCTGGGAGTCTGGAAGCTCTTTTTTGCTTACAGGAGTGTGTGGTGAAGATTTCTTAAGTCACTTCCAGAACTGTGATACATGTTTCTGTGACATTTTTCCTCGTCTTTTTTAATTAAATACAGTACATCTGAAAAGTGTTGCCTGTAAGTTGTACAAATAGCCATATGGTACAAGGAAAGCCCCTAATTGAGTAAGTTTCTTAGCTCATATAGTGATATTTATACACTTCTAGGAGTGGCTGGAGTAAAAGAGGTAGAGTCATATCATTAATTTTGCTTGTATTGTTTGTGATGGAAAACAACAGGTTTATGGTATTGCACTGTGAATAATTGAAAAAAGAAATATAATGGTTGGATGGCTGTGGGAAGCCAAAAAATTCTCTACATAGTTTACATATCATGGCAAGGATGGGTCCAAATTTTGGATGGCACCAACAGATACCATAGCAGTGGAGGTTCCTCAGTGTTATACATGCTACATAGGTGTGTTTTGGAGTTTTATGTCTGATGATGCTAGTTCTATAGTATATACACGCATAAATACACACATATATATACACACATATATACACACATATATACACACATATATACACACATATATATACACACATATATATACACACATATATATACACACATATATATATACACACATATTTATATACACACATATTTATATACACACATATATATATACACACATATATATATACACACATATATATATACACACATATATATATACACACATATATATACACACATATATATATACACACATATATATATACACACATATATATATACACACATATATATATACACACATATATATATACACACATATATATATACACACATATATATATACACACATATATATACACACACATATATATATACACACATATATATATACACACATATATATATACACACATATATATATACACACATATATATATATATACACACATATATATATACAACACATATATATATATACACATATATATACACACATATATATATACACACATATATATATACACACATATATATATACACACATATATATATACACACATATATATATACACACATATATATATATACACACATATATATACACACACATATACACACACACTATTAGATTTTGGTGTAATAAGGATGAAACCAACCTACAAACTATTTTAGCAGCCCCCTCTCCATTAGTGGTAGCAAATTATATAATATACAATTACTTTCTACCTAATGTATCAGAATTTACTCATCTACATGGGAAACCATATCCACTGCAGTTTCATTTACCTCAAAGCTGTGTATGCAACATCAAAGAGGCCAACAAACCTTTATCATATGTATTCTGGTAGGACAAGACCAGGGTGCATTGCCAGTACATGTTAGTGTGTGCCGCTCCTTCCCTGAATGATTGTTTACCATGCAGTCTGACACATGAGACCTCCTACTGCTTTGTATATACACTTATATTTAGAGACACTTCTGAAACATTTTATGGAGAGCTTTTTGTGTCTCCGGAATAGCTGGACCCAGAGTTCCATATCTTGTGCCCATTGGCCAATCACTACCAAGCAATCAGAATACCTGTTTCTACTAGGTTAAATGTATAGGAAAGTATGTAACATGAAAGTGTTTTATATGTTCTACCATCATATGGCTGGCAGAGTAATCACTTTGTAGAAAAAAATATAAGATACATATTGTAGACATTTTCCACACATTTTTTTTTTACTGCAGACGATTTGGACAATAATATTGAGCTTTTGATGCAATTTCAATACCAGGAATATTTTATTTATTAGATGTATGTTATCTTTTGATATATGAAAACCAGTGCTTATTGTTAGCAGAACTCACTACCTCTTATTCTCATCCTGGGGGAAACTGTGACATAGACTCTGACAATGATTGGTCACATCATTCTGGATAGAGGGTGGGGCATAGTCTAGCTGATTAACGTGATTGGTGGGAAGAGGGATGGTGGATAGAGCCATAGTATTTCTAGGGCAATATGCAATCTAAAAAATTGAGCCAGAACAGAATATGGATATCACTCAGCAGCAGCTAGAATAAAATGGAATTATGACACCAACGTTGGTGTCACAGTATATTCCACTGGTACTTCAGGATGCAGAAACTGGTGTTATCTCATAAGACAGGTTGACCCTAAAGGCAGTGTGTCCTATGTTTGGGCACACTTGGTGTTTAGAATGCTTCATGAGGAGGCAGGGCAAATTGCACCAAAATTCTTACAAGGCACTAGAAAATGATTGTGAAGTTTCAGATCAAATCATAGAGACTGATTTGTAGGTTCCAAAAAGCGAGCGAAAGAACATTCTACATGTAAATTGAGATAGAGTAGATGGACATGATCATTATGTATACTGATATGCTACATTTAGTAGATCATAAGAGGATAACTCCTTTATAGGTTACAGAAAATTGAGGTAGAAGTGTCATGTATTTGTTTTTCCCCCCAAAGGTCTGGCAGAACTGGCCCATCGTGAATACCAGACAGGAGACTATGAGAATGCAGAGAAACACTGCATGCAGCTGTGGCGTCAAGACCCCTCAAATACAGCTGTGCTGCTGCTACTTTCATCAATCCACTTCCAGTGTAGACGCCTAGATAAGTGAGTAGAAGGAGTTAAAAAGGAATCACCTTGATTGGAGTGAATGAGTTTGGGAGAATGAGAACAAGTGAGTGGAAGAGAGATTGTTTTGAGTGCAATGGATGACTGAGTTGAAGGAGGATTAAAAAAGTGAATTAGTGAGTTAAAGAGAGATTGAAAAAGTGAATTAGTGAGTTAATCCAATGCTGCCAGGCATGGCATGTACATGCCCACTGTGAGTTTACTTTATTAATTGTTTTTACACATAGATGTCTACACTTGTAATAAGTCCCCAATCAGCCAATTACAAGTACTGCCTGTCTTGCCAGTTTACCCCTTTCCTTGATTTATGAAAATATTTTACGTAATCATATTTTGCTGTTACTAATGTTTATAACATTATAATATTTATAATGTCTATAATAAATATAATACCATTGACATTCATAGCATAAAAAAAATTATTCTCCCGCCAGTTCAAGGAAAGGTGATATCAGGAAAGGTCACAAGATCTACTAATTGACTCCTTTGAGGCTAAGCACTAGCAGAGCCATCTATGTGCAGAGACATTTCATAAAGAAAAAAACAAAAAACAAAAAAAAAATTACTGAATGAGTGTGAGTTAGGAGTGAGGTATTTGAAGAGATACTGGATGAGTGAGTTAGGAGTGAGATATTTGAAGAGATACTGGATGAGTGAGTTAGGAGTGAGATATTTGAAGAGATACTGGATGAGTGAGTTAGGAGTGAGATATTTGAAGAGATACTGAATGAGTGAGTTAGGAGTGAGATATTTGAAGAGATACTGGATGAGTGAGTTAGGAGTGAGATATTTGAAGAGATACTGGATGAGTGAGTTAGGAGTGAGATATTTGAAGAGATACTGGATGAGTGAGTTAGGAGTGAGATATTTGAAGAGATACTGGATGAGTGAGTTAGGAGTGAGATATTTGAAGAGATACTGGATGAGTGAGTTAGGAGTGAGATATTTGAAGAGATACTGGATGAGTGAGTTAGGAGTGAGATATTTGAAGAGATACTGGATGAGTGAGTTAGGAGTGAGATATTTGAAGAGATACTGGATGAGTGAGTTAGGAGTGTGATATTTGAAGAGATTTTGAATTGAAGTGGAGAGGTATGTGTATTATGCCATATGCTATTCTAAAGGATATTTTGAAAAATGGTGAAGTGGTTTTCAGTATCATGAAGACTTCTAAAATAATGTCTGAAAGTGCTGTGATATAACTTCATTAGAAATGTTTTCACTAACATATTCTGCATCTTTTGTTTTCTTAGATCAGCACACTTCTCAATGTTAGCCATCAAGAATAATCCTATGCTTGCTGAAGCATACAGCAACCTTGGGAATGTCTACAAGGAGCGAGGGCAACTTCAGGTATAATGGCAGTGCT